CCACTGTGTAGGGAATCGAACACTGACAATCCCACTATAACAAAATTCATAGACTTTGTCAAGCTAATGAAACATCTCCTCGTTTCGATCTACGTAAATGTGTTGATATTAAAAATCACCTAATCAAAACGGTTTACAAACAATCGTTCAAGTTACGTAAGATATTTGACTGCTCATAAAGGTGTTTTTCTGGCAAGCAAATGATATACCTATTCTAGTGAAAAAATAAAATCCAACATATTCTTGACTTCCTAGACCTACTCTAAAGGTTTGCGTTTACGAAGTTGAAATGTCGATTTAGATCATTTTCGAGAATAATTGTGAGATGGTATGAAGGTCGTATATATTTTGAGAACAAAGCTACAGTGCTTTGAGCCGTCTCACAGTGATCTAAAGTAGTGACACTGAGACCATGGCCAGCCTTCGTGTGGGAGCAGATAAAGGAAGTATTTCGAAAATTTATATTTCATACATCTAGTTTGGAAGGTGGACGAAGATAAATAGATGTGAATTGTAGTTTCAGTAACCGCTTACTCAGCGGGCAAATCAATGCATCAATTATGGCCAAAAAATTAAAGCATAGATTACCGAAGAACATAATGTGAGACACATGAAAGCTCACACGAATATAAGTTCATATATATAAACAGACAAAGAGTAATGTGGGAAAGTGAAGACAGACACAGATACATGCAATATCATCAATTACATTACAATTAAACTTGCAAAGGTCAACTAAGATCGCATAGCAGTTTTCATCAGTTCACCATATTTAATTCAGGATATCATTGCAAATTAGATTAATTTCATGATCTAAGTGTATATGTACCTTTGGATGTCTTCCGTTTTTCCCTTAACTAGGCTATAACAACTCAGAGGATGCGACAAACGAGTGCAAAATCCAAGAACGAACGAGATACACGTAGTATGCAGGCCTTCCCATGACGTGAACAACTATTGAGACCTACTAACAGAAGACGTATTTTGCGCATTCTCTATCGACCCGTTCATAAACAGATTAGACACTTGCAAAGGCTCACTAGAAAATGACTGTTATAGCCCATCATCTCTTCGTACTCAGTGTACAAATCCGAAATATAAATATTAAAATTTACTAAAAAATACTAAACATGTATCAAAATTTTATAAACCAACATTGGTTTTTGAATCCTAATATTATGAAATAGGAAGTTGAGAAGTTAGTGTGCGCAGACTAAATGGTTTAATGAAGCACTTTCCTTTGGAAATTAGATTCAAATGCATTTTTACAAACGCCGATTGTAAGACAACTGACTACATCATCAAAAAACATCCAAACGGAATTCCCACATTAACAGTGGGGACCTAAAAAATACGTTTACCATGAAAAATAATACGCTCCTTTTATTATGAAGAGCCTGGGTAGTGTGAAATAACGACGGCATCATTCCTGAGACCTGTCAAAATGTTTTTCTGGCAAAATCAAAAATAACATATTCACCACGTTAAGAACCAAATCTATCAGCGCTAAACAACAATACGACTACATAGTATGAAGTCAGCTACCACCAATGTTTTCTTCAGCAAACGTGTGTGCAACCAGGTTCTATCGTATCGCTTGACTAAATATACAAATGTTTGTGAGAAACTTATAAAACTGGAATAAGGTAATACATTAAAGTTGTACGAAGTCAAATGTATGAACAGCCCAAAGACAAACAAGCTTTATCATCATATCATGGATTTCAAGCTGCTAGCCTTAGTGAGTGGTGTGGGACCTGAAAGGTATGCTATCAAATTCTACAAAAATCGGGTAGTTCTAGATTTAAAGCTTCGAAGGACTGCTTGACTTCGGACCTTTTTACTCATTTACACTCTAAGCCTCTTTGTAAATATTCGATGAACAAACAAAGTTCGGCTGGGCTTTCGTACAAAATAAGCCCAGTGAGAAGCTCTCACAACAATTAAAGTAACAAAGAAGCATTGCAATATCTGATGTGATAATTATAACCTGTAGACTAGTTATAATTAGCTGGTATATGTATGAGATAAAATCTGTCTCTCCCTTTTTGTTTAAAGCTGCAGAAATGGTCCCCGTAATTTTTGTAGATAATGACAATTGAAAGTAAAATAATTCCAATGATTATTGTCCGAAACATACATCTCAGTTGAATATATATATATATATATATAAGTCTTAAACGTATCATCAGTGTCAATAACACAAGTGTACACTGAAACACCTGTTTTTCGTTAAATAATTTACTACTATGCAAGTATCTATTTACGTTATTTTTATTTCGATTACAGCTTTGTATTCTGCGAAGAAGAACGAACTTTGTTGGATAATTACCATGTTTCTAAAATTTTGAAAAGCAACTACTCTCTATCGGTTGATGTGAATATATCATATAACAAACGGTTGGATGATGTCAACTCACATTTTAGTGACATATGTTATCGCACAACTAACACTACCCGCCTTTGTTTTTTTCGGTATCAATGTCAAATCTAATATCAGACTATTCAGATTTGTATAGTAAGGACAGAATGTCTGCGGCCTTTGTTATTCTCTTTTCTATTATGCTTTTGTGAGTGTCTAGTCTTCTCTTGAATGAGTCGATTGAAGGTGGGGACACCAGTGCTTCGGGTAACAGGTTCCAACAATTGATGATCCAGTGTGAAAACTTGTATGACACGGGTGTTTTGTTCATTCTTGGCTTTCATACTCTCCCGCTTTGTCCTCTGCGATGTTCTGATCTAGTGTGAAGAAAAAGAGAGGATATATTATGTCCAAAATCATTTCTTAGTATACTACACATCAAAATCAGATCACCTCTTAACCTACTGTAGGACAGAGCGAAGAGGTCTTGTTTTTCGAACCACTCTTTGTGTAATAAACCTTGGAGTTCTGAGATCGCAAGGGTGTACTTTGTCCAGGATATCTAAGTCGCCGTTAACACGAGAGCTTACAGCCTGAACGCAGTTTTCGAGCTTAGTTCTCACTAGGGTATGTGCATACTGTAGTGAACATGATAGTATCTAACTTGGTGAATGTCTGTCTTAAAACTCATGGGGTTGTAAACACTATAGCTGCAACCATTCGGCAGTAGGTTTTGGTCTTAAGATCATCATATTAAGATCCTTGTGAAACCGGACCACGGACATAGACGCTTCCCGTGTGCTGTAACTATTTACCTTTATATCCCCAAAGTGAATGTATACACACTTGGCTGCGATGGTGAGCATCAGCCACTTTTTAGATCAGCTTATCAGAATATTTAAGTCTGCCTGAAGTGAGCGCTGACTTGGTGTTCCGGAGATTGCAGCACTTAAGACTAGATACTTCTCCTGGCCCGGATATGGTTCATCCTGCCATACTGAGGAACGCAGTCTCAATCCTGGCAACGCCGCTTAGCGTGATGTTTTCACACTCGCTAAGCCGAGGCAAATTATCGGAACGACTATCTACTGTCCTTAAATTTCTTCTCACCCCAACAGCATGGTGTCAGGAAGGGTTACTCTTGTATAACCAACCTGCTGACTGCGGTGGACAGATGGACAAGCATCCTCGATCGCAAGGGAAAGGTTGATATCATTTACCTTGATTTCTCAAAAGCTTTTGATAAAGTTAACCACTTGTGTCTTATCAATAAGCTCAAACGACTAGGTATCAAACCACCTCTAATCGATTGACTTACTTCATACCTAAAAGATCAACACTTTAAAGTTAGGGTTAATTTCACTTTATCTCAGGCTATGGAATGTCCTAGTGGGGTCCCCCAGAGCTCAGTACTAGGTCTTCTTCTCTTCTTGATCTACATAAATGATCTTCCTCGACAAGTAACTTCAGACGTATTACTTTTTGCCGACGACGTGAAACTTTGGAGAGATACCCAACCAAGACGATATACAGGCACTTCAGGAGGATCTGACTCGACTTCAAAGTTGGGCAGACGACAACGGACTTACCTTTAACACTTCAAAGTGTAAAGTAATTCATCTGCGACATGTCGCAAACTACAGTTACAACTTAGGAAACTCCTCCCTAGTAGTATCCCAAGTCGAAAAATATTTAGGAGTTTCGGTGCCTCATGATTTAAAGTCTTACACTAACTGTGACAAAAATGCCTTCGAGCAAACCTTCCCCTGGTAACGTTGAAGCGCATTTTTGGACAGTTTGACGGACGAACTTTCCATACAATCTTCAATAGTTTCATCCGTTCCCATTTAGAGTACGAAAACATGGTACTCCCCCTCTCACTCCAAAAGGACAAAATCACTTTGTAGCGTATCCAACGGCGAGCCACGAAATCAGTTCGAGGACTTAAATCTTAACCTTACGAAGAACGCCTCCATTCACTAGACCTTTCTCCATTAGAGTATAAGCGTCTTAGAGGTGATTTATAAATGGTTTATAGTATTCTTAACACTTATGGACATCCTCTTAAACACCTACTTAAGCTTAGTTCGAATAATAACCTAAGGGGTAATACCCAGATACTGGAAACTCAACATAGCAAGACGGAATGTAGACACAACTTCTACTCCTTAAGAGTTGTCAAAAACTGGAATTCGCTGCCAGCCGAGCTAGTCCAAGTAACTTCTCAGGAGTCCTTCAAGAGGCAACTTGACCTATTCTTAAGGACCAAGGACAGCATCACACTATGATTTACCAATTTCTTTTCCTCTTTTGTTGTTAACATACCTAGGTTCCTGCCTGGAGGATTTGGTGATCCCCTGCTACTAGACACGGAAGCCTGTAAAGCGAAAGCTTCTTCTATTCCGTCCACAACCATTTGAACCATTTGAGCATGCATCCGCGTCCCTTGTTATTCCTAACCAGGTTTTTACATCATCGACTCATTCAAGAGAAGACTAGACACTCACAAAAGCATAATAGAAAAGAGAATAACAAAGGCCGCAGACATTCTGTCCTTACTATACAAATCTGAATAGTCTGATATTAGATTTGACATTGATACCGAAAAAAACAAAGGCGGGTAGTGTTAGTTGTGCGATAACATATGTCACTAAAATGTGAGTTGACATCATCCAACCGTTTGTTATATGATATATTCACATCAACCGATAGAGAGTAGTTGCTTTTCAAAATTTTAGAAACATGGTAATTATCCAACAAAGTTCGTTCTTCTTCGCAGAATACAAAGCTGTAATCGAAATAAAAATAACGTAAATAGATACTTGCATAGTAGTAAATTATTTAACGAAAAACAGGTGTTTCAGTGTACACTTGTGTTATTGACACTGATGATACGTTTAAGACTTATATATATATATATATATATATATATATATATATATATATATTCAACTGAGATGTATGTTTCGGACAATAATCATTGGAATTATTTTACTTTCAATTGTCATTATCTACAAAAATTACGGGGACCATTTCTGCAGCTTTAAACAAAAAGGGAGAGACAGATTTTATCTCATACATATACCAGCTAATTATAACTAGTCTACAGGTTATAATTATCACATCAGATATTGCAATGCTTCTTTGTTACTTTAATTGTTGTGAGAGCTTCTCACTGGGCTTATTTTGTACGAAAGCCCAGCCGAACTTTGTTTGTTCATCGAATATTTACAAAGAGGCTTAGAGTGTAAATGAGTAAAAAGGTCCGAAGTCAAGCAGTCCTTCGAAGCTTTAAATCTAGAACTACCCGATTTTTGTAGAATTTGATAGCATACCTTTCAGGTCCCACACCACTCACTAAGGCTAGCAGCTTGAAATCCATGATATGATGATAAAGCTTGTTTGTCTTTGGGCTGTTCATACATTTGACTTCGTACAACTTTAATGTATTACCTTATTCCAGTTTTATAAGTTTCTCACAAACATTTGTATATTTAGTCAAGCGATACGATAGAACCTGGTTGCACACACGTTTGCTGAAGAAAACATTGGTGGTAGCTGACTTCATACTATGTAGTCGTATTGTTGTTTAGCGCTGATAGATTTGGTTCTTAACGTGGTGAATATGTTATTTTTGATTTTGCCAGAAAAACATTTTGACAGGTCTCAGGAATGATGCCGTCGTTATTTCACACTACCCAGGCTCTTCATAATAAAAGGAGCGTATTATTTTTCATGGTAAACGTATTTTTTAGGTCCCCACTGTTAATGTGGGAATTCCGTTTGGATGTTTTTTGATGATGTAGTCGGTTGTCTTACAATCGGCGTTTGTAAAAATGCATTTGAATCTAATTTCCAAAGGAAAGTGCTTCATTAAACCATTTAGTCTGCGCACACTAACTTCTCAACTTCCTATTTCATAATATTAGGATTCAAAAACCAATGTTGGTTTATAAAATTTTGATACATGTTTAGTATTTTTTAGTAAATTTTAATATTTATATTTCGGATTTGTACACTGAGTACGAAGAGATGATGGGCTATAACAGTCATTTTCTAGTGAGCCTTTGCAAGTGTCTAATCTGTTTATGAATGGGTCGATAGAGAATGCGCAAAATACGTCTTCTGTTAGTAGGTCTCAATAGTTGTTCACGTCATGGGAAGGCCTGCATACTACGTGTATCTCGTTCGTTCTTGGATTTTGCACTCGTTTGTCGCATCCTCTGAGTTGTTATAGCCTAGTTAAGGGAAAAACGGAAGACATCCAAAGGTACATATACACTTAGATCATGAAATTAATCTAATTTGCAATGATATCCTGAATTAAATATGGTGAACTGATGAAAACTGCTATGCGATCTTAGTTGACCTTTGCAAGTTTAATTGTAATGTAATTGATGATATTGCATGTATCTGTGTCTGTCTTCACTTTCCCACATTACTCTTTGTCTGTTTATATATATGAACTTATATTCGTGTGAGCTTTCATGTGTCTCACATTATGTTCTTCGGTAATCTATGCTTTAATTTTTTGGCCATAATTGATGCATTGATTTGCCCGCTGAGTAAGCGGTTACTGAAACTACAATTCACATCTATTTATCTTCGTCCACCTTCCAAACTAGATGTATGAAATATAAATTTTCGAAATACTTCCTTTATCTGCTCCCACACGAAGGCTGGCCATGGTCTCAGTGTCACTACTTTAGATCACTGTGAGACGGCTCAAAGCACTGTAGCTTTGTTCTCAAAATATATACGACCTTCATACCATCTCACAATTATTCTCGAAAATGATCTAAATCGACATTTCAACTTCGTAAACGCAAACCTTTAGAGTAGGTCTAGGAAGTCAAGAATATGTTGGATTTTATTTTTTCACTAGAATAGGTATATCATTTGCTTGCCAGAAAAACACCTTTATGAGCAGTCAAATATCTTACGTAACTTGAACGATTGTTTGTAAACCGTTTTGATTAGGTGATTTTTAATATCAACACATTTACGTAGATCGAAACGAGGAGATGTTTCATTAGCTTGACAAAGTCTATGAATTTTGTTATAGTGGGATTGTCAGTGTTCGATTCCCTACACAGTGGCATTTCTTGATACAAGATGAAAAGAGCAGACCATATTTTGTGGATGCCACTCTTAACATGTCAAATGCCATAAACCTGATTCGTTGGATGGATGAACTTCCATTTTTGGCAGCCTATACGATGATGCACGGAAGTAACTCATTATTGTGAGAGCTGACTATTTTTGCTGCATCATGTGATTGTTGACTAGCCCAGGTGACGACAAAGACTAATATACATTTGTTTCAGGCTCTGCTTTATTTAGGGCTGAGTGATATTTACTGAATCTTGTGTTGTGGATCCTCCATATATAAGTACTGGATGAAATTAAAAATATCTGGTGAGCCCCACCGATTTGAAGTGTTTTTGCCTAAACTTAACATTACAAATCCTCTTCTTATTAATCTTTTTGATGCCTTTTATTTGCCAATGAAGGTTACATGAAAATTATCAGTTAAGGAAATGACTGAAGGTCTAGAGAAAAAAATTGTCAGTAAGATAAGATGTATGTGAAGACAATTAAGTCTGAACGCACTTTTTCAAGAGTTTGGGTAATTAAAAAACGAAATGATTTACCACATTTATGAGGTTTACAATGATCGTTATACTTAAAATCATCATTGGATTTCTTTAGTTTAAGTAAAACACAGCATACTGTAGAACATATCTTATGTGTTCATAGCTAGATGGCTTTAACAGTTTGTTATTTTTAACAATTGAGGGTCAGGTTCTCAACATATCTTTTTGTACAATAGAAAAAGCTTTGGAAATTTTAAATAGTGAGCTACGTGGTCTCGTTTGAATTGTTCGTTTGATATATCATTTAATTTGATGCAGATTATATGATAAATAGCAAGAGCCAAAATATAGCTCACCTTATTGTGTCATCATCGTATCCCACTTTTGGCTGATACAAATTAATTTCGGGCTCTCCGTTAATTGTTTTCTGACAATCGGCACGAAAATAATGAAACTCTTAATGAATATCCTTTTTAGAATTTTCAATTTTTTATTGTTTGCCAATATATCTATAACTGTTTTAGCTTGATTACGATAAATATCTACTGCACTGTAGTTTTGGATTTATAAGCACAACCCTATAAATCGATAATGCATATAACATGAAAAGGTGGTGGTAACTCAGTTTTGATAGGTAGATGAATTGAAAAGCAGAACTTCATTTAATGACCTTTATATTTTATTTAGGCCGGATATCTAACCTCGAAAATACTAAACTTAATTGTAAAATATAATTTGAAGGACATGAGAAATGTGTACATCCTTAATTTGTGTTAAAGCCAAATTTTAAACACCGAATCCTCCTACCACAATCAGAAATCATATTTTAGATGCCTAGAGATACAAAGATTACTGCTTATGTAGACTTCCAAAGATGCTTTAATTTTTAAAGAATGTTTATCATTTTAGATTCTTTATCTGAATTCATAGGCACTTTATAAGAGTGTTGGTTTCGAAATGTTACTTACAATGTAACAAAAATCTTTATTGTAAACAAATAAATGCGGCTAATAATACCTTTAATATTCTCATTTACTTACTTTGAGTCTCTTGCTCACCCGCAAGTGCCATATACTCAAAAAATTTAAAGGCTGTTCAGAAATTATCTTTTGACACAAGTACTTATACGTTTGGACCAAAACAGCTATTTAATGGAAGCTACAAATGTTAACTGATGTCTTCAATGAAGAAGCTCTTGTTAGACTTCATTTGTAGCTGAATAACGCTGACCAATAAAATTCAACACGCACTTTGAATGCTGATATTACAGCTAACAGTAGTCACTTTTGCCTACAGAAAATATAGTTATTAAATTCTGGAATCGTTATTCCTACCTTTGTTTATGAATGTATGTTAGTCAGTTATATTGACGTCTTTATGAGATAGAAGACTCCGTGTGCGAAAATTAGTTGAGATTTATAGAAATCAATCGTAATGTGATACAATATAATCCAGCAAAAATATGAGACTTTAAATACAAGTTTATCAAAATATGTCAAAGCGCTGGTTGTAAAAAGTTAGGAGTGCAAATTTATCGTAAGACTCATTTGAGAGTTCTACTATACTTCACTATAAATATACCGTAAATTGACTGTTGGTAGAAGTTTTATAAGATTGTAAATCATATTGGGTTTCGTGTCATTAGGCATATACGTTGAGTTATTATTAATGACTGCTCATCAGAGTTTTAATGTAGCCAAATTTTGTTTCATAACTTTAGCCGTTTGTATCTCATTGCCAGTTAAGTTATTTTTAGCTGTTCTTTGTCATGACAGTAAACGGTATTCCTAAGGAATATAAATGAATAGAACCTAGCTTTGTAAAGCATCTACCTTCAAAGTGATCAAACATCCCTCAAAAATACTTAGGTCATATAGGATTGGGGATTTAAAACCAACTTAAGGCTATGGTTTTCAAAAGCAGATTATATGGTAAAAAACTGGTTTGCATGTTTGTGGGTTTGTTAGATACATTTCACTGCACACCAACACATTTAAATTCACTGCAATTTTAAGCTATACAGGTCAATGTCCCATAGAAACTAATGTAATATGGTAGCCGGTGTTTTCTTGAATGACCCCATAACCTACGTATTTGATATTTTAAAGATATATTATCAAACGGCAGGGTGCTTTGCTAGCTTTTTATATCATAAAATTAAGTTTCCAATACTGTATAAACAAAGTAAATGACCTCATAATGTTACGTATTTACTAGAAAATGTATCCACTGCTTAATGTTGAGTGAATACCTATAGTTGCAGCTTCGTATCATTTATTGATCAGAAAGATTATATTCTGCAGGCAAGTAGGGGTCAGCAGGTGAATCTTAATTACATCCAGTTCGTCTAACAAACAAATAAATTGATCCACTTTTGTATTGGTTTTTTGAAACTTACCCTTGACGCTTAGGACTGCAATTGATCAGTCTTTTATTGATATACGTGTACCCTGAGAGAATTGCGTCAATATTACCTTAAGTCACAAGCATTGTATGTAGAGATGGATGGTGGCTAAAAGTGGGATACTTGTGACCTGAGGCAATGTCGAGGCAATTCCCTCAGGATACACATTGGTCAATAAAAGACTGATCAATCGCAGTCCTAAACATCAATGAAATGATTAAAACAGCTAATACAAAGTGAATTAAATTTCGATCTATTAAACAAGCTTGTGGCTATCTGGGGTTACTAGTTAGGTTGATAACTCTATGGCGGATGAAGTGATCGGTACTGGATTGGATTTTCGAGGTTAACGTCGGCTCTGGAATGCGTGGACATTCAGAGTACCAGACAGGACGGAATAAGTTAGTCCTTCTTCTACTATTCACTCTGTTTTATCATTAGATTCTTCATCTTATAATTGTTAAAATCATAAGAATATATATATATATATATATATATATATATATATATATATATATATATATATATATATATATATATATATATATATATATATGAAGGGGTACCTAAGATAGAGGAAATAACTGTCTCTCTGTCCCAACTTATAACAGTCACTGGAGTTCTGAATGCAGCTGATCATTGTCACACAGAGTTATTTTCCTTTCCTAACATCCTTGTATGTAATGTTATTCTATCAATACCTTTGAATTGATGTCAGTGTTATTGTCTGTTAACTTCAAATGGGACACTTATTACTGGAAAAATGTGAGTTGTTAAGACTCAACATAGTAACTAATATCCGTTCGAATTTCAACTAGTCAGTTATAGCTTCAAATGCCACTTCATCTACTCCTGTCTAAACAACCAGGTAACATCATCAAGCTTTGAACATAAACATTTGACTGAAAGCCGAGTACATATACTTGTGTTTGGTAAAATAGTGATATACAATCATATCACCTAGTTCATTTGTTTTGGGTTTTAACCGATTTATTAAACTATTAAAGAAGTTTTTTGAAACATCTTAAAATCTTATATTATTGTGGTGTTACTCCTAGAACAGCCTAAAGATACGAAATATCTAAGAATATATGAAACGTTTCTATGGTGTAATATTTTATCATGTACAGGATTGTGACTTTGAAATCTAAATCTAAATTTCGCTCAAAGGCAGTGATCATTAGCCTAATTATTTTTTTAAAATATTTTGAAACATCATTTTGACGGCATTTAATGATATTAACATAATAGAAGATGACCTCTACTAAACTTAATATTTTGTCCTTAAACATAATTTAAATTTTTTCTCACAAGGTCCATTAATTTACTGTTTATTATATAAGCCAGTTGTATCTTGATAGGCTTCATGTAAATTTTTATTCATTTTAATTCTCTGTACGAAATTTGTAAACTTTTTCTAGTCAAGCTAAAATTCTAGTTATTATTTCACCTCATATGACGTTCTTCATCTTTGATAATGGGATATATACTTTGTCAAACAATTAATATAAGAAAGTTGTACATCTAGTTGGATAGTCCAAAATAAGACGATACGTGCGCCTATGTATATGGACAAAAAGGGGGACTAATTTTTCTCATACTAACATATATTGGTAAGCTTCTGGAACATAATCATTGGAGTTAAGTAAGTATTCTTTAGTTTTTTAAATCGTGAGTCAGGATAATGTTTGGCAAACTAATAAGTTTCAGATAAGTGACAAAATAGATATACGTTGTCGAGTTTCGAATGGCAGCCATAATTAGAAGTACGATTGGGTTATGGAGGGGCGCGAGCGATTTTTTTTAGTAGAAACCGACTCGATGATCAACGTATGAATACCATGTGTCAGCTTGGGTGGTTGAAGGTAGTTGGTAAGAAAGTATTTCGTGCCGTTTGACACTCATCACAAAAGAATACTTGTTATCTTCAGAGAAATGGTTCTCCGCAAAGCATAGGGTCCATGTCAATCATTTTCTCAGTCTGTTCACTACTTGGTTATCAATCACTTGTAAACATCTCAGTTATACAGAGGAATAGTTGCAACCCGTACAGCTCAATGGTAAAGTTTCAGGCTGTAAAGATGGTTGCCTGGGCTCACCAGCTCCTTCAAGATTACTAGTATTTCTTGATGACTAACACTAAAAAGCACAAAACCTGGGTGAAAGGCTCCCTATTGACCATCTTCAACCATCAATTTACATCTGAATATAGTGTGCGCGATATTGAGTCACCTAGATTAGTGGCTATATTGCAACTTGATCGATAGGATTTGATTAGCACTAAAAGAACTGAACAAACATAACACTAATCTTTACTCAGTGATCAATATTCCCACCAAACTATTGAGCTATTATGTGAACCATGGTGATGAGGAAGGTTTATAAACAAATGCTATTCCTTATAGCATATCAGACGG